AATTAAATTATTCAATACTATACTTTCATAATTCATCATTGTCTTAGTTAAATTATTTTTTAAATTTTAAAAAAAGTAAAACTCAAATAACTAAACCCGAAGCATAGCCCGGGCCTTTTCGCTAGTTTTTAGAGATAAACACCGACTATTTTGAGTGATACTAAAATTTTATTCTTTCATGTCTCACTTTTATATTATAGAAGTAAAATATACAACTTGTTAAGTGTTAACTTGTAGTTAATGCTTTTAAAGCTTAAAAAAATTCATCGATCATTACTTTCAGTGCGAACTGTAAATAATGCCTCTAGTGAATTTATTTGTAAGACTATGGGAATTATAAGCTAAAAAAATGCCTGACTTAATGGTTTGATCTCTATTTTCTAGAAATTCTATGATTTAGAAATTTCGTCAAATATTAATGTACAGTATGTAATTATTGCACTATGAAATTAACGCAAGATTTGTAATATCATATCGTGTCATAAAACACGTTTCGAGTAACGTTACACTCAGCCACTGAAAGTTCACAGAAATTCGCCACATTACCAGCCACAGAACATTGTCCATTGTTTCGTGAAGATCGTATACAGTGGACCTTTATGTAGAATGGTTTGTAGAATCGATGAGCGAAAACTTTTTCCAATGGCGAAACACTAAGGGTTAACCGAAAAAATTTTATATTCTTTTTTTATCACCGGTAAAATTTCTTACCGATGGCGCAGAGTTCTATCAGAGAAAGAGAAAGATACGAGGGATATCGTAGGTAATGTGGTTTCCCGAGATGTAGGAAAAAAATAATTTAACTAAGACAATGATGAATTATGAAAGTATAGTATTGAATAATTTAATTTAATCAAGTCAATGATGAATTATGAAAGTATAGTATCTATATTTTGTCAACAAACCGTGCAATTATACTCGCTGATCCTTTACAAATAATCTGACATAATGTTAGGTGTCTCTCCTTTCCAGAACCATTGATGTGTTTTATTATGAGTTCTGCACAAACTATTAATGACTTCAAATATACCTTTAAATCCATTCTTAATTATTACGTAAAAAGTAGGCATTTACCAAAGAAAAAAACATGATAATATATCCTAATTAGTCTGTACGATGATCTGAAACGATCCGTGGTACATGTACTTTCAATTTTCTATAAATATGCGAGATGACTTGAAAAAAAGAATTTCAAACATCTTTATTAAATCTTTACGTTCGACCATAACCACGTATAATTAAAGCGATACACATATCAAAATTTTTTAATTTCTAAGCTTTTATTAGCACTTATACAACAAGATCAAAACAATGGCAAAGGAGCATCAGAGAAAAAATGTCACAATAGCATGCACAAACTGTAAAAAGACGAAAACAAAATGCGACGGAGGCAACCCCTGTTCAAAATGTATTAGTAAGAGTTTAAGCTGCTTATACATTTCCCCAGTAAAAACTCGAGGACCCACACCAAAGGCTGCAAAAGACTCTTGCCGAGAGAGATTGAGATTAAAAAAAAAAGGTCAATTTCAGAGAATACAACCAAAACCGCTTCCTAATGTAGAATCGAATACTACTGGTTCTTCGCAGGGTATTGCAGAAAGCGATTTACGAGAAACCAATTTCAATGCAATGAATAATTCTTTACAATCGCCCGGAATTTCTTCGCTTAATATTACTAAACCTATTATGCAAATCTTGCCAACTCTACGAATGAATCAAGAGAAAAATTATATTACCCATTTTCACCAATATGGAGTGGATAATGATTATATTTACTTGAGAAATATGGCCGCATGTTCTTCCCTAGTAGATCCTCCTATAGTACCTTCGCACATTATTTGTACACCTAGAAATAAAGGTATTATTACTTTCCTATTTGGATTATCATTTTACAAAGGAAACATATTAATTTTCTTTCTTTATTATAGATTTGTCTCTGTCTTTACCACACGTTTCGTCTTCCTCCTTATCTTATTTGCCTTTCTCTGAAACTTCCTCTCTGATATTTTTAAACAAAAATAAACAAACTGATGGTCTGAACCAAAATGCAACTTCCCATGCCGATCTGTTCCCTTCGAATTATGATAATTTGATTTCAGGTGATTTTTACTCTTTGCCGGCCGGGGTTTGTTCCGAGTTTGATTCTAACTCAACTGTGAATGTAAATGCTGTTCTTATACCTATTGCTATTACCAATGTGAATTCCAATGCCGATATTTGTGGTGTTACAAATGCGAATGCTAGCACGAAAATGAATGTTGTTGCTCCTATGAATTTGGCTTCCACCGATATGAACGTTTATGATACTATAAATTCTAATATCACAACCAACGCAATATTTTGGATGTCGAGCAGCCCCGATAATTTCTCTGTTTGAGATATTGACTCACGAAAGTTGTCATTTTGAAGCATACATAATTATTTAATTACATTCCACATTACCACTATTACATTTTATTTTCAATTAATCCTAAATAGCAACGTTTTGCATACATTGTCAATCATTCTTGCCATAAATTCACTTATGACGTTTTACATTTACCATATATATCATGAATGGACAGTTTTTCAATAGCATTTTTTTTCCAGTACAACATATTTCCCAAGCGCAACATGCATTAGATCATGCGTAACGAAACACGATTAGTCATTATTTGATTTGTATCTTATAATAAACAGTGAATCGCTTCACTTATTGATAACCACATTATATAATACCGTATACTGTAATTGAAATTACTATACAGAGTACTTTAAATATGATACATACTGTATGTTATATAGTATATACAGTATACAGTATATAGTTAACTTTCCGTTATTTAAGAATGTTAAAATGACAATTTTTAAATTATTTTTTTTTTTATTTTTTTTTTTAACCCGCAATCATGCCACAATAGCTTGTCTTTATTGAGAAATTAAAACAAAATCTACAATAGTTTATAGACTTTCATAAAGAGACTAACTCATCTTCATACATAAATACTCTAAGTCAATTTTGGAGACAATATTACATTTCTCTAATAGATTGATAATGACCTCTATCTATCAAAATCATTGCCAACAGTTTGTCACTGTTGATTGACCTGAAAACCAATGAATCGTTAAGTTAAAGTTAATTTTTAAATTACAAAATTATACAAAAAAATTTTTTTTAAATATAAATTTAATAACAAAAACCAATATAAGCTTTTAAAATTAAAAATTTTGAAACCATTATTTTTTGTTATAATTTAATGAACATTAAATATATATTTTAAGAATATAATAATATTATTATTATTATAATTAATTGATAATTTTATTATTTATAATTTATTCAAAAATAATAAAAATAAAAATAAAATAATTATAATAATAATAACTTGTAAATAGTGATATTAATAACTAAAAAATATTTACTTAAGTTATTATTGAAGTAAAAAATTAATCTAATTAAAATAAATAAATTAACTAAATAGATTTAACTTTAATAATGTATAATAAAATATATAGATAATCTATAAAAATTTAAGAGAATATATATAATTAATCTAATAAAAAACTATATTAAAAAAGTATTAACTTGTTCTACTAATTCTTTAACACATAAAAAAATAGTTACAAAAATTTTTTTACTTCTTAACTAATAAAACTTTAATACTTTTTTAAAATTAACTTGAAAAATAACTTAAAAATCTTTTTTACTTTTTTTTTTATATTTCTTTTATATAAAAACTTAATTTGCAATAATTAAAAAAAATCTTTTCTATTTATAATAAAAAAGTTTTAAAAGAAAAAAAAACTAATAGTATAATATTAAAAATCTATCTTCTAAAACAAAAATATAAATAAAAAATTTTATATAATAAATAGATAGATAAATATATAAGTCTAAACTTTAAAAATTTTCCTTTTCATTGTTTTTATTTTTTTAAAATTATTTTTTGTTTTTCTAAAAATTTTTAATTATCTCATTTTAATTCTAAATTTTGAAATAATATAAAATTGATATAATTGATATTAAAGAAAATTAATCAATAAAAAAATATTAATAATAGAATATAAATTTTTTTTTTTAAGTGTAACATGCCTTCTTTATTAATTTTAATACAGTATATATTATTTGAATTAATATTAGACTATCTATCAACTCTTTTTATTTATTTTTTTTTACACTAGCGTATTAAAAAACTAATTAATTTTTAGAAATCCCTTATAGCTTGTTGCTCCCAACTGGGAACTAATGTGTCTAGACTTTATTAGCACTAATATGAAGGATATAGAAAATGTTATATAGTCCTTTCAGGATATTACCTATTATTTTCTGTATATCAGTTTGTTGTGATCTATTTGTTATTGTTTTCTCTTTTGTGTGTGTTTTTTGTTACTTTCTTTTCTTTTTTCTTTTAATGGATATTTTGTTGATTCTCTGTTCTTTTTCCCATTATAGTATCCTTCTACACCTGTTAAATCAGATGTTGAAGGTTAGGAATCTAGTATATTGTATAATGCTTTTTAGAATATCAGATAGCTTGTCATGTTCCACTATTTTTATAATTAAGTTGTTTAAGATCTTGCTAATTTCTTTTTTAAAGATGAGCATATTTAGGTTTTTAGTATTGAGCTCAACTTTGTTATTTATTATTTAAGGAAATTTTTTATTTTTTCTGTGATACAGTTCTCTATATATATTTTTGTTTATTTCCTCATAAATGTTAATGTTGTGTTGAGAACAAATAAATGGATAGTTGTTATGTTCTATCTCATTGCAACTATAATATCTGTTTGTTTTGTATATGTTGGGATATTTTTTATGAAGTTTGTCCATTGTTGGAAGCTCTTGATTCCATAGTTTGATAAAGAAGCTGCATTGTTGAAAGTCCCACTTATCTGATCATGGGTTGATGAGTTGTGTTGGATGGAGGAGTGCAAATCTAGTTTTCCAATCTATTTCTTTATGATTGAATCAAGTGATAAGAGTATTTTTGTTAAGATGTTTCCAGCCAAATGTGAGTTGCACTTGGTAAATCTACTTGATAGCCCTCAGATATTTTGAATGACCTCTATATTGTCATTGAAATATGGTTGCATTCTAGGCATATGTGAAGAATTGTGTTGCAGTTTCTTTTATCTTTGTTTGATACTACTTGGTATGTCAATTTATCAATTCTTTTATGAAGTGAACTATTATCTTTTTTAGATGGTTTATGTCAGGTTATCTTTTATTGAAAGGTATTTATTATTTTATTAAGATTGAGTAGTATTCTTTTCTTTTGATATTTGACTAGTTTCTGATTGGTTGTGAGCTTGTGATGGTTCTAAATAAAGTTTTGTAAATCAATGTACTGTATATATCAATTGTTTTACCTTTTCTAATTGTAATGTAGGTAATAGTGACTGCTAGAATTTTTTATCTGTATACTAATGCTTGACCTGCAAAGGTTGTATTGAGCTTGAGGTGTGTGTTATCTTGCATAATGAAGGTTATTTCTATTTTTATTCTTGATTCTATATCTATTTTAATGCTTTCATCAGTATATACTACAATTTGTTACTCTAGTTCCAATTTTTTAGAGATTGTTGATATGTTTGTATATAAATTTTTCTGGGCTCTTATAATTTATTTGATTGTTCTTGTACTCAATATTTCATGGATGATTTTTACTAAGTCCAGTATGAAGTTGGGTTGTTGCTATCATTTAGTTCAACTCTGTAAAGGTATTTGTATTCTGAGTTTAAAAGTATTGTTCTTTCCTTGGTTAGACTTGATAGTTTTAATAATAGGTGTTATGATTAGGTAGGATGTTAATATTTTGATGCAATAGTTAAGACCATATTGATCCATATAAATAGTAAATTGATATCCTTTGCATGCTTCAATTAGTGATTTGTTTATAGTAGTGAAGTGCCTTAGTTTGATGTTTTCTTTGTTGTGGCTGACTCTTTGGCCAGTTATAATTTGCCCTACTTTTTTGAATGAGAACTATTCTTTCTGTTTTGGTTCCTAAGTTCTTGGATATATTAAAGTAAGTGGGTTAAGTCCTGCTTCTATAACATCTTGTATTAGAGTTTCATCTACTCTTGCTCAGATGTACTGTATCTCTATTACTTTGATTCTTTTTTCTTGTTTGATCTTTTGTTGAGACAGTCTACCTAATGCTATTGTATTATTTTTGTTTGGAAGATGTCTAGGATCTATTATTGCTAGCATATCTTGTGTTTTTTTTAGGTTCTGTCAATGTTGATTCATTCAGGTTTCATTTAGGAGGAATTCTAAATGTCTATCTAGGTAGGGCAATGGATTTGATTGAATAGTCCAAAATTGTATATGTTTTTTATATCATTCTTAATTTGTCTTGAAGGAAGTTAAAGCCCTTTTTATAGAGTTTCAGGCATTTTTCAGTAATACTGGTCTCTTGTTATGCAACATATTGAAGTTTTTGGATCTTGAGTCTGGTGTCCAGGCTAGTTGTATTTTTTACTTCATGCAAGACTTAGAAGTCACTGTCAAATTTTTGTTATTGTTTGATATTTAGTTCCATTATATTATAAAGAGTGGATAGATGTAGTATTATGTTGAGACATGTTATTGCTAGTTTAGTTCTCCTTCTGAAGTTATTTTTTATTTTTGTATCAACTTTGGCTACTTTTTCCTTTGACAAGATAGTGTCTTGTAGTAGGTATTCAATCTGAGAAAATAATACATAATTTGTTATATATCTATGTATCTTGTCTATGAGTTGTTTGCTTGCTAAGATCCAATATATGTTGTTGACTTTTTTCTTGATAAGCTGCCGTTAATGGCATTTTTCCCCTTTCTCTTCATGCCAAACACCTAGAACTTTGATGACATTATTGTTAAGTACAGGTTATATAGGGTGATTTTAAAAGATAATGGATTCTTTTTTGTCATTAATTAGGAGAAGCTCTGATTTTGATGGGTTCACAGTGATATCGTTGAGATGGTAGAAGGAACTGTTAAATATGATTATGAGCATCATATTATTTTTGCTTTGTGAAATAAATATTGTGTCATCCATATTTGCAGTTATAGAGATGTTTATCTTTCCTGTTTCTGACTTTGAATCTGTTGGAACTTTGGGATCACATATTAAGTATTCTTTCATTTTACTGATTCTGTTAATTAGAGAGTTATAATATATTCTTCAGAGAATGGGTAACATTGTATCTCCTTGATCAATACCTTTGTATACCTTATATAGTTCTGTGTTTTTGAAGTATGTAATGACTGTATTTGTTCTATCTGTAAAGCATATTTTTATGATATTTTATATTTGTTTGAGGATCTTGATTCATTTCATTGTAGATATACAGTAAGTCTTGAAATGTTGACTGTATCATAGGCTTTGCTCATATCCTGAAAGAGCATATAAC